CGATGGCAGGCACAGGAAAGTCACAGGTCATTAAAGCTTTGACACACTTCTTTGCTGCTCGCCAGGAAAGCTACCGGTTCATGTGCATGGCCCCCACTGGATCTGCTGCAGCGCTTATCGGAGGATCTACATACCATTCCATGCTAGGACTCAGACAAAATGCATCCTCAGACTCTGTGGCTACCCTGCTCCAAGTGCGCGCTCGCCTGCAGAATGTGGAGTACATGTTCATTGATGAGATCAGCATGGTCGACTGCGGAAGTGTGTATACTATCTGTGCAAAGATGTGTGCAGCACTGAAGAATGATGGGGCGCCCTTTGGTGGGATCAACATGATTTTTGCAGGAGACTTTGCCCAGCTGCCCCCAGCCATGAGTGGAAATGCACTGTACTCGCACAAAGTTGGACGTGTCATCCACCGCACCCACAGTCACGCACACCAGCAGGCATCCATAGGCAAGGCATTGTGGCATCAATTCACCACTGTTGTCATTCTGCGCGAGAACATGAGACAGCGGTCACAGGGTGCCAACGATGCCAAGCTCAGAACAGCATTAGAGAATCTGAGATACAAATCATGCACGCCTGAGGATGTCAAGCTGCTCCAGTCACGTGTTGCAGGATGTGGTCCAGGAAGACCTAAATTGAACCAGCCATGCTTCCGCAATGTGTCTATTATTACTGCATGGAACACACACAGAGACAAGATCAATGAACTGGGATGTGCCAGGTTTGCAAGAGAAAATGGCCAGCCATTGACTACATTTTATTCTGTGGACAAGCTCTCAGCCAATGCAGATGACAATGCAACCAAAAAGCAGCGCAGACAGACCATGAATCCAAGAAGGTCCACCAATATTCTCAGTGCTGAGCTCCAGGATTGTCTGTGGAATTTGTCGCACACTTTGACTGACCATCTGCCAGGCAAATTGACTCTGTGTGTGGGCATGCCAGTGATGATCAAGATCAATGAAGCAACTGAATGCTGTGTGACCAATGGAGCAGAGGGTGTGATTGTTGGCTGGAAGTCCAGACCCATCAGTGAGGACAAGGAAGCCCTGGAAACTTTGTTTGTCAAGCTCACTGCTGCCCCTACCACTGTGAAATTGGATGGATTGCCAGAGAATGTAGTGCCCATCAGCCACCAGTCACGCAAGATCAGGTGCAAGATGCCCAATGGAAATTTCCTGTCCATTTCCCGTGATCAAGTGTCAGTCATTCCCAACTTTGCCATGACAGACTTTGGATCCCAGGGACGTACACGGCCACATAATGTGTGTGATTTGCAAAATTGCCCCTCTCACCAGTCAATCTACACCTGCCTGTCCAGAGGATCCACATACAGTGGGACCATTATTGTGCAGCCATTTGACCCAAGAAAGTTGACTGGTGGAATATCTGGGAGTCTGCGTCAGGAGTTCAGAGAGCTTGAGCTGCTGGATGAAATCACCAAGCTGCGCTACCTGGGCAAGATCTCACCCAAAGTGACAGGCATTACTCGCAATGAGCTTGTTCATTCATTCAGAAAGTGGAAGGGGGAGAAGTTCATGCCAAAGACAATGCACAGGGCCTTAACATGGAATGTTGGTGATCCATTCCCAATTGAAGACATACAGGCAGATGCTCCATGGCAGATGGTCGAGAAGGCAAAGCCTAAAGACAAAAAGCAGCCCAAGTCAGATGTACCTGATCAGCCAAAGAAGACAGCTGGATATGTTGCAGCCAAGGGCACACAAGCATTGTCAGTTGTGAGCAATACAGTGGACAAGAAGTCAGTGAAGCGTAAGCGAGAGGATGACTCTGATGCAGTGGGTGCCAAGAAACCTCGTGGCAAACAGGTGCATGCTGAGGTCAATTTCATTGGGTTCAAGTGGGACAATGCCAACTACAGCTGTGCTTATGACAGTCCTCTGACTATTTTGCTGTCAGTGTATACAGAGTGTAAGCAGCAGTGGCAGACAATGGTACCTGAGCAGAATGCATTATTGTCAAAGCTTACTGGTCACTTTAATGGCAATTCTGATGACATAATCAGCTACACAACCACTATCAGGCAGTCAGTCAGGGATATTCTCCATGCTCAGGATCCAGTCACATATCCCCATGGCCCAGTGGGAACTGACATCTATGCTCTTGTGCGTGAACTATTGAAGGCTTCTGAAGACACTCAGTCCCAGTATTACTCCTGTCAGTCCTGCCATTATTCCAGCGAGTCTGAGGGTGCATGCAATATTCTGTGGGACACATTCAAGAAGATCTGGAAGAACAGCCTGTACAAGGGAGGGTCATACAAGGGTCAGAGTGTGACTGCCTGGATGGGTTCCATTTTCAATCAGAAGACTTCTCAGATGTGTCCCCAGTGTGAGCATGCACTCCATCAATGCATCAGATATGATGAGCCTCCAGCATTCATAGCACTGAATATTCACAACATCAAGGCAGATATTTGCACTGAAGTCACACTGCCTGATCATCCTGACCGGTATAGGCTGTGTGGTCTGATCTACTTTGGGAAATTCCACTTCACATGCCGTGTTGTGGACAGGCATGGTGATGTGTGGTTCCATGATGGGATGAAGACTGGGACTAATCTCGTGCCAGAGGGTAATGTACTGAGCCTGGACTCCAGCCTGCTTCAGAAAGCAGGTAAGAGGCGTGTTAGTGTACTTGTATATACCAGAATGTAGAATAGGATTACCTCAGCATTTATAATCAATGTAGTCCTTTGTAATTGCTATTAGAATGAGATATATATTAAATGCTTGACTTTGTAATCAAAGTAATCATTGTTGGCACATAATTTTCTTCAACATATGAAAGTATGACTTCGAATTTGCTGCAACTTTGTAATGATTATAATTATTTGTAATGAATATCCACATCCTCATCAATTGTACCTGCCGGACACGGCCCTCTTACCCAAGTTGGAGCAAAAAGATGTTCAGTACCAGATAATGCAGTTTATCTGACACTTTGCTAGCACAATCTTCTGCCCTATTCAACAAAAGTGTGTTCAGATGTAATAAGGAGACCGACCACATATAATAGCCAGCATGAGAGCTATCAGTTGTGCAAACAATCTGGTGATGACCTTCAGCCACAATCAGCATTTGGGGCATTAAAGCCTGTATATTGCATATAAAACCATGATTGTACCACCATTAGATGCACATTGGAGAGACCTTTCTAGTGGTATATCATTGTCCCATAGTGTGGTGAGGAATGAGCCAACAGTGCACAAAATGAGTTGCAGCTGTGGCTGAGAACAAACAAGACCACATTCTGTGGCAGGGGAATGCAGAGCACGGCTCCCCTGCCGCCAACTGTGGTCTTGTTTGGTTCCCACTACAAATGTCTTAATATCTTGCCTCCCATTGGTCCATATTTCATAAAATATATATCACCAGGAAGCTATGGATGAACAGAATCCATGTATCCAAAAACAATTAGGATGTGGCTAGTGCAGCAGCCACTATGCACAACACAAAATCCTATTGGTGCCACAATCGGAAAAAAGCGCCCATGGCACATGACCTGATGACATCACTGCCTCCCCGCTAGTGTTTTATGCCACCAGGTTTAGAACTTCAATGTCTATTAAATGGTGCTGTTTATATGGTTATTACTTGAACCTGGAAGGAGCTCAGAATATCATGAATGCAGTATTACAGGCTGTTGCACTATATTTAGCAATCTGATCAGGTGATATGGTTACACAAGATAGAGCATACAGATAATAATGGAAGCCTAATGAGATTATCACTCTGCTGAACATTGCCCTGTTGCCTTTTGAAAATAGTGCATAGTGTAAGCATCTGAAATATCATCAATGTAAAGTGTATGATCAGGCTATTCATTGAAGGGCTTGTTCATTGTTTATCTGATCCATTTTATGCCATGACAGTACTTGCAAACATCAATGTCTTCCTGGGCAAACTCAAAAAATCAGCAATAGGCTGTAATGGGTAAACTCTCACCTGTAAATTGCCCAAGCTTGAGAAGAAGCCTGTAATGCTAGAGAATCAGCCCTGCTCAATATAGGAAAGGGGTGACTGTCATGGAACATGGATAAGACTACATCTAGGATATAGTAAGCCAATATGTTCACTTTATTCAAGGCTTGGGCACAGCAATGTTGATTACCATGGGGCTTTCCTAGCTGGGCACAGTGGTCAGATGATGTAAGTTTGGATCAATAGCTGAGTATGACAAATGAAGTGGAAAAGAATACTGGATGCTTGAAAACAAAAACATCTGAAATATGGATCAGATATAGTTTGTATGTATGAGAAAATATTGATTCACATTGTCCTGCATATTGTGATTGGATGAAAGTGGTGCAGTTATAACACATAATATACATCAGTGCTTATGAATCATCTGCACTGTGTGAAGAACACTATTGTCTCACATCTGCTAATGTACTTCTGCAGTGGCTGTAAACAGTTCATAACAGCTATTATCCAAATGGCACACACTAAAATTGCATACACCAATAGGGTGAATCACTCAGAAAATTGTGATGTGTTGTTGCAGTGCTTTTGACACTAAGACATGCAGCATTTCTGTACTACATAGGAGTATATATTACTCCTATTTAGATAGCACAAATACCAAAGAGCAAATAACAAATGGCAGTTTAATTCAATGTCATTAAAAAATTCATTCTCATCAATCGGACCTGCCAGCCATGATCTCTCACCCAAGT